AAAGAAATTTGGCAAGTTCATGATGAAGAAGGGCTACCGTGCTAGAAGAAAGAAGTCTTCATCTAAGAACAAAGAAGAATCAAGAAGGTGCTTCAAGTGTGGAAGCAAAGATCATCTTGTTGCTCAATGTCCATACAATAGCGACAATGATGACGACAACAAGAAGAACAAGAAGAATGACAAGAAGGAAAAGAAAGAGAAGAAGGACAAGATGACCTTCAAGAAGAAGAAGGGTGGTTCATATATGGTCACTTAGGATAGTGATGCTTCCTCAAGTGATGATGATGATAGTGATGATGACAAGACCACCAAGAAGAAGACACTTGCAAGCATTGCTGTCAATGAGAAGCCCTCTCTCTTTGACACTCCATCATACTTCAAGGCTAAGGCCACTAAGGTACAAACTTGTGATGATGTATGTGATGATGAACATGATAATGAAAATGATAGTGATAGTGATGATGATGAACCTACTAAAGATGAATTATTTGACATGCTAGAAGATGCTAAAGAACACTTTGACATCAAGAGAAGGGAATACAAGAGCTTGAATAAGGAACTAAAAGCCCTTTAAAAGCCTTTGATGAGCTCAATGCATCTCATGAGAGGCTAGAGGAAGTCCGTGAGAAGCTTGGCAAGGCTCACAAAAAAGCTTGAAAAGGCTCATTCCTATTTGCTTGATGAGCAAAATAAAAAGAAGCATGTTGAAACTTGCAATATAGGCTTAACTTATGATATAATTGATGAATCATTATCTATGCCTATCATTGTTCCTCCCGCTAACCCTTCTTGTAGTACTTCTACTTCCACCTCATTTAGTAGTGATGGTTTCACTTGTGATGCCTCACTAATAGTTGAGAATGAGAACCTCAAGAAGGAGGTCAATAAGCTCACTCACACCTTGGCTAAGGCCTATGGTGGTGAGGGCCGCTTGCTTATGTGCTTAGGTAACTAAAGAGCTTCTCTCTACAAAGAGGGATTGGGCTATACCCCTAAGAAAGGCAATGCGGCCTTAGAGCCCGTCATGTGGTTGCTGGCAGCAGAGTCCAGATACCACTGCTGCTCCTGGTCGGCGCCCACACATCCGAGGTGGACTTGGGCGCGTGGTTTGTCGAGGTTGACGGTCTTCAGGGCCTTCCCAGGTCCTTCCACCGTCGTCACCTCTTCCTTATCCTCGGCCTCGACGTCGTGCAATGCACAGAATGTCGCCATCAGGATAGTGGCCTCATCCTCATCATCGACTTGCGCCAGATGAGCCTGAGCCTTCTTTTTCTGCTTTCCGCAGCGCCGATAGGCGTTGGGGTCGACCTGCTTCTTCTTCTCCGAAGAAGCCCTACCGCGGCGGTTGCCATCGCCACCGCGGCTAGAGGAGGCTGCCTTCCCGGAGTTCCTCCGAGCAGCCCACTCCTCTTCCGTCAGCAGGAGTTTCCCGTTGTCCTTCGTTGCTGTCGCCTGCTCCAGGCACTCGTCCACCGCCCGCAGATGGCCTGTCACATCCTCAATGGTGAGGGTGGACAAGTCCAGCATCGTCTCTATGGAGAGAGCGATCTGGATGTACTTTGCCGGTACGGAGTGGAGGTACTTGGAGACCACCTCCTCTTCGTCGATGGTGACGCCATGGCTCTTCAGCTTGCTGATGAGCGTCTATATGCGAAGGGAGAAGTCCTCCACCGTTTCACCATCCTTGAACTTGAGGTTGGCGTACTCCTGCTTCAGAAGCTGGGCCGTCGCCTTCTTTGCGCGGTCGAAACCGACGCGCATCGCCGCAATAGCATCCCACGCCTCCTTAGCAGAGCTCTTCGTCCCCAACGGCTCTCTGTACTCCATCGGTATAGCAGCGAGGATAGCCTCCAACGCTGATATGTCATCTTCTTCATTGTCGGTGCCCTTGTCAACAGCATTCCAGAGCCGTCGGGCTCTGAGCTTGACCTTCATGGTCACCGACCACTCTCCATAGTTTGTGCGAGTCAGCGTCGGCCAACTGGTGCCGCTGACTTCCCGCACCGTGCGAACAACAACCTCCGGTCATGGTTGGGCAGCCACAGCAGTGCCACTGTTGTCGCCCATCTCCGAACCGCCCGTTATCGCCAGCGGTTAGTCTGGCGACGGCACTTGTACGGCTCTGATACCACTTGTTGAACCACAGGATCGCCGGCTCAGGATAGTTGACCACTCACCAGTCTTGCCGAGCACCCACTAGTCGTGCCGACCACGAACAAGCGTTGTCCGTCCCCACGCACTATGGCTAGAGCTTGAAGAAGAAGGGAGAATAGAGCATACACACACAGTACAAGACACCAGCGTTGGCCGAAGCCCTGTCTAGGAGATGGCAAATCCGAACTCTCTTTACTGAGTTGCCGTGTATGTCTATTTATACAACTCTATCCATCTAGTTCTAGTACAGCGCACATGCTGTAACAGTAACTAGATAACACAGTAGTGCTGACTCTACGTCGGTCTCTGCATGTGGCTACAGTGCTGCAGGTGAGCCGTTCGGCGCCTGTACCTGCAGCTGCAGCGGCTACAGTATCACAACAAGAGGCCTTTTTGACGCCGCCTTTCCTTGCTGTGTTCACACGAGGAAAGTCCTAGATTATTCTAACATTAATAATAGAAATAACTACCTATTGAGCAAAACCATCCATCACCGAGAATATGACAGCTAAGATCAACCATAACAGCCATATAAATAGTTGCTTATTAATTTGGACTTCACTCACACTAGCTCTGTAAATGGAACACGACCAAAATACAGGTGGTTAGCTCATATATACTAGCAGGTCCCAACAGTATAGAAGACATGGAAATTTAGCCGGTGTATACGTAATAATAAAACTCGACCTGCAGGGGTAAGACCACCCCTAGGCATTGCTATGAAAGAAGAAGACCCCCAACCCAGATACAGGGGCACCGTTGCCCTGTGAGAACCGGGCCGGGCCCTCCCACGGGGAGTCGAACCCAGGACCTGTGGAGTGCCGCTGAGACGCTGTAACCAGATGGACTAGAGGCTCGTTGGCTGTATACGTAATAATTGTTTCGTTTCTTATATTGTTTCGCATTATCACAATTGTTCAGCACCAAATTAACAGTCCTCTATACCATATTGCAATTGTGATTCGATCTAAAATGTATTAACAAAGAAAAGCTCTACAACAAGTAGCAATAGATCAAAACAAACAAAATGCAACCGATCATGATTGGTCAGATGAACCTTCGACTTGAAAACACTCAACTCATCATGAGCTCCAACGCATAATATATAGCATAGCATAGCAATAGCATAGGAGGGACCTCCAAAAAAAATTCCAAAAGCAAGCTAGTCTACTTCTTTCTCAAAAGAGAGGCATATATAGAGTAGATTTGGATTTTTGTTTTGGCAAAAGATTTGAATCCGCTTGTTGGAGTGTTTTTTTTTAATTTATCGTTTGTGAAAAAAGGAAACACATGAGACACAACAAAGTCTAGGACGATACGTTATTATTCTACTTAGACCTACTACTAGGCCATATATAGCTGTATGTAAAGAGCTAGAGAGACGCCTGATACAAATAAAATAAGTATACTTTCACCCCAAAAAAAACCATGTAATATAACCAAATAAAGCTAGTAACGAGATGCATATATGAATAATAATCAATTAATATATATAGCTCAGCCTCAATTAATGGCTGAGCTGATGGAGCACCGAGCAACGTTATTTTCAAGCAGCAGGGTTAGCTGCTAGAATAGCTAGCTAATATGAAAGGTTGGCAGCATCAGATATGGAGGGGGCAGATGACTGTGCATGACAATAACATGACCACAAGCATGTTGGTTCCAAATGTTCCTATACATCCAGCACCAGCAGCTGGTAAATCAGTGTCTGCCAAGTACGGATCGATCGTCTCTATACTAGCTCGAATGCATGATTTCTCAGAACTCTTTCCCCGCCGCTGTGTTAATTAATTTACTGTAAACAAAAAAAAACAACTTGTGCTGGGAGCTTCGTTTTAATTAACCTGTCAAGGACAAGTGAACGCATATCAGAGAGGACACTATCAGTATCAGCTGCTACTTATTTCGTGGATACGCTAGACAAAGAAAGGATGATGGGCTCATCGCGTATGTGCACGCTTGCTTTGGCACTTCATAGTTCATTCATACTAAAAAAATATAGTGTAGCATGACGTTCGCTTTATTCGACACTCTCAAAACATTCCATGTATCTACCAGAGCATTGTGCCATTGTTTACCATACAATGTGGGGCTAAACTAAATCTACGATACGCCATGTTCGCTTGACTTATAAGCCATACTTTTTCAGCCAACGAATAATATTTTTCTCTCCCAACAAATCAGGCATCAGTACTTTCAGCCATGGCTTATCAGACAAGCGAACAGGACAAGGATAATCAATTAATCAAACTTCGCATACTTTAATTCCTGCTCAATAGAATGTCAAACAATGCACAAAGTAGCACATTTGCTGCCGGAGTCTTGTCCACTCAACCCCAGCAGAAATGGTCATCACATCATAGGACAAACATTACAAAACCGAATGGTCATCACATCATAGGACAAACATTACAAAACCATTGGATCGGACTAGAGTAGCATAAACAAAAACACGGCGTGTATTCGAAACAGCAGCAGCACAAATTATTTGGATCACACAGCCATTCCCAGAAGGAACGAAAGAAAAATGCAGATAACATTCAGTTTATTGTATAAAGAGCTGGCAGACTATATAGCAAAACTACAACCCCTAGGCTGGTGACTGCATGTTGCTCTCCATGTTTCACCCTCATCAGTAACAAGCCTCCCTCAGCACTACCCCTCAAACTCAATGGAACAAAACTATGACTCAGTTCAGTGCGATAGCAACAGAGGAGCACCAAGCAAAGGCCTCCCCTGTTCTGGGCCAGTTAGCTTGCATCCTTCTTTTGTTTCCCCTTTCTTCCATTTTGTGTCCTTGGTCTTATGCATTTAGGAGATGGCCCCAGGATTCGGTACTTGACCACTCATGTTGAACCAACCTCTGGAGCTGACCAAAGTTTCACCTTTTTGTCCACACCAGCAGTCCCCAAAATGAACACAGGCACGCCACCTAAAGAAAACAACAGCAGTGTGATTAAGACATCATAAATCGCATGCTCCATCAGAAGAATGGTATTCTTCCAAATAAAGGCTACGTGACATTAAAGTCCATCAACTCAAAACAGAAAATTCATTAGCTACTTATCGGGACACTACGGAACCACCATGAGTGTGATTAGCATGCGTACTCTGCAGTCAAGTCATCCAGGATAAAGCACATATCATTGTTTTCCAAATCAAGTGCTAACCTATATAGACATTTCGTTTGACAGGATTTGCAGAGATCTCCTTACCATTGGGAATTTTGCGTGGAGCCCAAGCAATTCCAGTTATATCACCTGAGTACATGTCAACAGCATGTCATTCAAAGCTAGAAATCAGTATGCCCATGCAATCTGTCATACACTATCAACATCAAACACCACAACACTACAGAGCCAGGAAGGGTGCTGGTAGGAGGGACTGGCAGGGGCCATGGCCCCCTCGTGCTCCAAATCTGTTTCTATTGGAGCCCTTTAAGACTAAGAAGAAATTTAGTACATATACTATACTAGTATTTGGTTGTTGATATTACAGAAGTCTTCTAATCGTAGCTCCGTCATTGTGCAGAGGAAATAAGATGGATCTAGTCTAGACATGTATAGTCAGGAAGTTTTGGTTGCAATCTCAACGTCTCATAGCCATGTTCCACAGGACTACGTCTAGGCTGCAGGGCTCAGAAATATACTTTGACTTGTACAGTTGGGTGTACTGGCAATAGCCACAGGAAAAGGGGACGAAGCCACATTCCTTGTCCCCAGAACGTGGGAACATTCTCACCCCTGACTTGTAAAAAACTTTCCCGGGTAGCATACCATGTTCCTCAACCCCCATTGACCTGGGAACTCATAGGTTAGTGCCCAACAATAAGTACTGATACAAGTCTTTGGATAACTCGCTACTCAAACACAAAAGATTCCACCATTTTAAAGGTTCTAAGAACTAATTCAAGTCTTTTCAAGCACCTAAGACATAACACTCACAATCTGTCTAAACTGTCACCTGCCTGCCACTTTGCTGATAATTTATTTAGCACAACGAAAACATTGCCTAAAGTCAACCAATAGGTGCTTGCGGTTCTAAATATTTAGAACAAGCAATGCATCATGGATTAGGAAATGAGGCTCCGAGTGTATCAATTGAAAAGACTAATCATGAAAGACATACACACTTCCCACACAGGTTTGGGGGCACCATTACTTCCAAAATAATATGAAGATGATTCACCCAAGCAGTTAGGGACATTACAAACCTTCATGTGCTTTCTCAGCTGTATCCAAAACTGCACCAGTTTCCACACATAACCATTGCAACGTTGATGCGCTTGTTACAACCAGAATTTTACCATCAGGAGAGACATTCATATGGTCATATTGGCAAACAGAACCTTTTGAGTCATGAAGTGGAATTGGCATAACTCTCAAGGTCTTTGGGTCCTCATCAAGGTGGTACCTTACTGAAAACAGTAAGAAGCATGTGTATCAGATCACAAAAAAAAAAAAAAAAAAACAAAGCACTATGCTTGAAAGGACTACAAGATGGGCATAACTACTTCTACAATGGCAACATCAACAGAACATGTGTTATTGTCACGGACAATTATATACAGGAAATTTGCATCTGAAGTGTCAACTGATGCAACTAACATGGAACCAAAAAAAGGTTGAAGAGGAGACCAAAATTTAGATAAGGCTAATAAAAACCAGGGAAGTGACAACTCTGGTCGCTAGTATAATCCACCTACACACTGGATGTTTCTATTGGGAGATGCGACTAATAGATAAGTGAATCACTGAAGGCTTTTGTATTGAAAGAAAGGAAGGATCTTCCAAAGTGGCAACTTTGTGAAGAAAAGCACAATAAAAACCATGTGTTTATGATCCTTTCATGCAAATATAGAATTCAGCGCATCGAAGAGAGGATATATATATAAGGTGTATATTAGAAAAAGTATAGAATGGTGACTTCCAGTGAACATGCCAGGTTTAACTTGCTAGATGCTATGAACTCAAGAAGCAACAAAGATGTGGAGTTAACTGGATATAGCATACCATTAATGTTCCATACTCGAATGGAACCATCTTTGGATGCAGTAATAATTTCCTCAGAATTTGGAGCGAAGCACAAGCAAGTAACAGCACTCTGAATTAGAAGAATTCATCAGTTTCTCACAAGATTAAGTCCAATCAAATGGAACTCATCGCAAAGAAGATTGGGGGTCATTACCTTATGACCCTTGAGTTGCATAGCTTTATTAACCTCCTTCACCAAACCATCCTTCGAGTAAACTATCTCCCACACCTAAAGCATCAGTAAATATTACAATAATTAGGGAACCCATAAACACTGCAACTATGAAGCAGTAACTGTGGCGCAGAAGTGTCTGGCAGTTTATCTAATTTGATTTTCAATAAACTCTGCAACTAATATCACAATCCAAAGACAGCCTTTCAGTGGAGACCAATTCCAGTGCATTGACAACTCATATAAAGCAGAAAAGTTAACCAAAGAAAATAGCCATCTAATGGTCTTCGATACTGTAAAAAATTATTCCAGAAAAAAATAAAAGGAAGGAGAAGAAGAAGGCTAGTGACACAACTAACCTTGACATCGGCAGTAAAAGCTGCAGCAGCTATGAAGCGACCATTTGGAGATATGTCAGCCATATTATTTTTTAACTGATTGGTGTCAACTGTACCCAACTCCTTTCCACTCTTCCCGTGCCAAACTTTGATATCAGTTGCTGCAAATAGCTTAGGATAATTAGCCTTAGCAAGAAATAAGAAAGTTTCTGTCTTTACTATTTACAGAAAAACATCTAAATTTGAATTCAAATGAAATAAAACATCTGCCAATTCCAATCTTGAATCCACTAGAATAACTATTAAGCATTGTGAATAGCAATAGAACAGGTCACACCTTCTGAGCATGAGATAATTATAGTGCTCCCATCACCGGACCCATGAGTTGCACGGGCTGCTGCAACGTTGAGCACAGACTCCTTGCCATGGATCTTGGGGTGACTCCACTTGATCTCAGGTGGAGAAAGCTTTCCCTGCTGTTTGTTTTCCGCAGTTGGAGGAGCGCTAACATCTGCATACATATAGAGAGATGACCCCAGAAGCGCCTGTGCTGCCACAACAACAGATGATGACCCCTCTGAGAAAGCAACAGCGGTAGGGTGTGCGCCAGCAGGCAAGTTTATCCTCAGAATCCTGCAAACATCCCCACACCATTATAATTCCATGGTGCTACCCATGCTTTTTTGGATAGAATTATTAACATTTGTTGAATGTGACGTCTTACTTAAAGCTCTTGCTAGAGGTATCATCGATCCTAAATATCCTGATGGCTCCATCGGCACATACTGCAACAATAAGCAGGAAAGGTTCAGTTGGTGATGCATGTAAGATTTCGTAAAATGAAGTGGATTTGCAATGCCATGGCAAAAGTAGCCAACAACTATAAGTGAAATGAGAGCAGCGGGGAATATAAAGATATACAGAGAAGAAGTGGCATCACTAGGAAAACACATCACAGATTCACATGAAACATAAACAATGAGAAGAGGAATAGGCTGACCGGTTGCTAGGTTGCCAGCGTCATTGGAGAAGGCAAGTGCAGTGACGGAGTCAGTATGCCCCCTCAAGGTGTTGACATCGAGATGGTGGTGCTTCTTGGCCGCGTCCTAGAAGAAAAGATTGCGGAGATCAGTGATGTGCTCATGTCATCTGTCATCTCCATGGCGATAGGAACGATCCGGATGAATGAAGATACAGGAAGACTCTGCATCTCAAGGGTGTTTATAGCAAACGGAAAGAATAATTGTTCGGAAATGAATCCCCGTGGGGCGGATTTGGTTTCCCTGGCAGGACGGAAGTAGCTGTGTATTGCTTGCACCGAGAGACGGGGGAGATTGAGATTGAGATCACCTTGTCGGCCGCGTGGTGATGCGCGCGGAGGTGGCCCTTCTTGTGCTGGGCCTGGTTGGAGGGGCGGACATGCTTAGGCTGGTCCGGGGCGGCGGCGGTCGCGGTGGGAGGGATGTGGGCGATGGCGGCGCGCTTGCGGCGGAGGTAGCCGGCGAGAAAGACGAGGGCGATGGCTGCACCGAGGACGGCGGAGACGAGGGGCACAGTGAGCGAGGACACGAGTGAGGCCGCCATCTGGCCTTGGCTTGGCTTGCCGGCGGGCGGTGGCGGACACGGATCGGGGTCAGGTCGACGACGGAAAGGGAGGGGAGGGCTTTTTCGTGCTGTGCCTCCGCTTCCAGTCCTCCAGTCGTCGTCTTCTCTCCTCCTTGTTTGGGCTTTTATTCGGCCGTCGAGACCCAATAATCCCAGATGCCGGCCCAGCCCATCGAACGATTTTGACTAAATATTAAAGGACGGGGGGGTAAAGGTGTATATACATACATACAAAACACATCAAATGCCAATGTGCCAAAACCATTCCATTCACAAAGCAAATGATTTCAGTACAAGAAACCATCCAGATTCAGATTACATCCTCGTAAATGGATAGTGTACATTTTTTACAGTGCCATCTTATTACAGTGGATAGGGTACATCTTATTACAGTGGATACAGAACAACCTAAGTAGTATAGTACATGGATAGTGTACATCTTATTGCAGTGCCAAAGTGGCAGGCAACCTATTCTTGTCAGACTCAGACACGTCGCAATCACATCCAGTTTCCAACCTGCAGGTAGCTTCCATCCTCGTAAATTCTTTGCCATTGCTTCCTGTAATACTCCATCCGCAAGCGTGGCCCTACAATGCGGATCTTCTCATTCCTGTTGTTCAAACACTCACATTTCATCAAGCCATAACCACACGAACCAAAATTGATTTGCATTATTGGAGACAAAACATTAGCTTAACACCACATCTAATACGAGTTGCAAACCATACCTCGTTTTTTAATTTATTTTCTTTTTAGAAACAAGAGAAAGAAAGATGTCAGAAAAACACTAGTAAATTAAGAAGCATGGTACATGTGTGATGTCATAAGCATTACATATGGCAAAATGTAAACTTAGTGATAAGAGTGGTAGCAGCTTACTGTTTATTTCTCTCTGCTGAATATTAGAAAGGGCAACAGCAATGTTCGTACCAATAAGAGCATTGTTCTTAACAAGTGCAATATCTGAACATCACTAAGGAGAACTGTCTTTGGATAAATGGAACTAAAAGAGCAAATCGATATGGAATTTTGTATGGTAATTATATCCATTAAACCTTTGTTTCCCACAAAATCCAATATGGTGTTGCGTAATAAGAATTTGGAAATGCATTGGATTTCATATCTGTGGGGTACAGCAACTAGGCTTAAAATTCTTGGTAACCATCCTAATAATATGCCATCGAATGGAACTATTATACAGATAAGATAATGTTATAGGATACTAGCTTCCAAGGAAGATCCTCCAGTTAGTTCTTTTACTCTTTCAAGCATGAAGGGAGTGATCGCATTTCCTATTATCCTTTTATCCCTGAGAAAAACGAAAAAAGAGGGCAAAGTTCATCAGCTATCATTTTTATATCATTACCAGGAGTGGAGATGTCGACTGTACTCTTCCTCTTTTAGAGCTGTCTGTATTGCAGACTCTATAATTTTCCCTGAAGCTGCATGCTGCTTGGGGATAGGTACTGCAATAAGAATCCCAGAACCAAGATGCAGGTTCTTGTTTGCATCTGCATGAAATCAGAAATCTTACAAACAAAAAACTCTAGAACCACTGACAAGTGACAACCAAGATTTTAATCAGTGCAGAAGCTAGCATCCACAAAGATACTACACAACATCAAAGTTTGAACAGCTCAATGTGTGGGTTGCCAATTGAATTTTGTAATGTGATTGAGTTCTGCACATTACAAGAATCCAAGCATTCTATGTGATACCTTTTGATTTTGGATTTATGGCGCATAAATTTGGAGCTACCTTATTAATCCGGCAGTTTGGCTGTGATTTTAAAAATGGGTACTACATATCAAAACGATTATATCTACATACAAGTTAATAGCTCTGTAAAATAAGAAATAAGATAACTCAGGGAGTAGAAGGTCATCGGTGGATCAGGTCACTACCAAAAGTTCATGTGAGATCAATAGTCTCATGAAAAATGTGAGTAAGGATATAAAGCAAAAATGTTATAATTTACTACTCACATATTATTTTGGCACACTCTTCTGGAGAATCAACACGACATGGCACCTGTGTTGGATTAAAAAGTACATGTCAATATATATCAGAACAGGAGTTACTTACTAGAGCCTGCTTGGATGCAAAAGAAATTGCAAGGATATTGCAAGGAACGTTTCAACTCCAGAGTCCAGTCCAGAAAAGCACCCCTTGCAACAAGGCCTAAGTGCATATATAATCATTCTGTGATAGTGCCAAATTACTGCAAGACCGGCAGTATGTAGTCTACTGGATTGTTTGCAAGAGGTCATATTGCATAGTTGTAAAACACTGAGATGAGGAAAATGTCCTTTAGACTAACATAGGCACAGAAGTGGCACAAAATCCTGTTAAGCTAAAATCATATATAAAAATATCTATACTTGCCTAGTTGCCTTAGCACTTAGCTGATAGACTATGTGACATGTGAAGTATTTATAAATACAATATTACAGGATTAAAACAAATATTACAAAGAATAAAGACTAGTGTTCGAACAAGTGATGGAGACACGGATGACTTCCCGATTAGGATAGGACTACATCAAGGGTCAGCTTTGAGCCCTTATCTGTTTGCCTTAGTGATGGATGAGGTCACAAGGGACATACAAGGGGACATCCCTTGGTGTATGCTTTTCGTGGACGATGTAGTGCTAGTTGATGAAAGCCGGACAGTAGTGAATCAGAAACTGGAGTTATGGCGGGAGACTTTGGAGTCCAAAGGTTTTAGACTCAGTAGAACTAAAACTGAGTATATGAGATGTGACTTCGGCACTACTACTCGGGAGGAGGAAGATATTAGTTTGAAAGGTCAAGTAGTGCCTAGGAATGATACATTTCGATATTTAGGATCAATGCTACAGAGAGACGGGGATATTGATGAAGATGTTAGCCATAGAATCAAAGCAGGGTGGATAAAGTGGCGCCAAGCATCTGGTGTCCTATGTGACAAAAGGGTACCACAGAAGCTAAAAGGCAAGTTTTATAGGACGGCGATTAGACCTGCTATGTTATATGGTGCAGAATGTTGGCCTACGAAAAGACGACATGTTCAACAGATAAGTGTCGTGGAAATGCGTATGTTGCATTGGATTTGCGGTCATACGAGAAGGGATCGAGTTCGGAACGATGATATACGTGATAGATTAGGGGTAGCACCAATTGAAGAAAAGCTTGTCCAACACCGGTTGAGATGGTTTGGACGTGTCCAACGGAGACCTCTAGAGGCACCGGTGCGTAGTGGAATCCTAAGCCAGGATAGTAACGTGAAGAGAGGCAGAGGAAGACCGAAATTGACTTGAGTAGAGGCAATAAAAGGAGACTTGAAAGGATGGAATATACCCAAAGACTTAGCCTTAGATAGGAGTGCTCGGAAAACAGTTATTCACGTGCCTGAATCTTGATTGCTTCTGCTGGATTTCAACTCTAGACTACCCCAACTTGTTTGGGACTTAAAGGCTTTGTTGTTGTTGTAAAATAGGAAGGAGCGCTGCCCTTTCATTAAGATCGAAGGAAGGGTTTAGAAGTTACAGGACAGGATACAGATAGCAGAGTCTGGGTAAAAGGAAAACAACAATGAGGACATGAATAGGAAGGGCGATTCAAGGATGGTGAAACTCACAAGACTCAAAAGGTTATACCTTGAAATCTTCAAGCTAGCTGTTTTCAATGAATGTGCTCTAGCAAACTGTCCAAACAGAAAGATATATAAAGCAGTTTACAAAAACCTTCTCTTTCGAACCTCACTACACACGATCACTCCGTGTACAACTGAATCATGCTAAGCCATCGTTGGTTCAGATGAAAGCATTTGGCTCTTTCAACAGTATGGCAATTACATTCCAAGTATCAACTAGACAAATATCTTACAGAAGAAAAGGTATTTACCTGGCATCCACTAATTTCAGTGAAGAAAGCAGGAAATTCATTGGTTCTGTAAGCAGCAACAGTTACCCCTTGAGTTTCCTGTCATGCAATAGACTAATAAGATCACACGACTGAACATGAGCAAAACATTGTACCTTGCACAGTATCTTGCTGAAACACAAACGAATTTCTACAATATTACTCACGTACTAAGCACCACATGTTGACTCAATTGTCAAGCAATGAAGCAACACAAGAGCTTCTGTGTGAGACTGTGAGCTTCTATTGAAAAGATGGTCTCAGGTCATTCAGGATAATCATGAACAAAAGGGTCCCTTTAAAATAACAAACACCAACAAGTTGATGTTTTGGTTCCCTTTCAATTGAGTTAAGCGCTAACCAAAGAAAAGTGAGTTCCAAAGCAATGGTGCTTTACTTTTTTCGAATTAAAAGATAGTGTTGACAAAAGGCCTTTGTGTACTGGTAACAGAAGTTGCATATGAATTAATCTAATTTTGCATCAACTCATTTCCAGCCCACATTTTCCTACTTTCATATCCAGCTCTAGTATGAAAAGAGAAGTGACGAGATTTAGGCAACACCTTCATTTCACTATTCAATAACTCTTGCGCAGACAGACATGCACAAGTGTGGCCTTCTTGACCCATATATGTGCACATAACAATAACAAAACCTGAACATATTCCTCAAGTACAGCCTATCCATATTTTACATCTTAACAGCTAAAGATGGAAGAAATCTACAATTCTACATGAAAGTTCATTCTAATAAACCAAGTTATATGTGGAATACAGCAAACAGGAAGTATACTACCAGGTACTCTAGTGTCCGCGGTATGTCCAAAATGGACTTCACACCAGCCGATACAACAGCTACAGGCGTCTTTCCAAGTTCAGTTAAGTCTGAGGAGACGTCCATAGCTGCATCAAAATGGTGACTTCATCAATCAATGTACAACTGTTTGTCGCTTGACCACGCCCAAATGCTAGTTTAGTTTAATTGTGCACTCTGAATGTTGTGCTTCAGAAATCAGAAAAAGAGACCAAATTTTATTCATGAACTTTCAGCTTCAGAGTTTAAATCCATCAATTGACAGTTGACAGGAGATCATCAATATCATAAATTAACAAGGGGGTCACAGAGAGCTGTGCAAGACACGAGATTGAAAGAGATAAATCATAAGCAGCCAAGATACAATGACTTCCTGCCAGTGTCAACACATAGCAAAATAAGTACGCAATAAGAAGATGCTTACTTTGTTGACCATCTCTATGCACACCTCCTATGCCCCCTGTAACAAAAATTGGTATGCCAACCTGAATTTGGGAAAAGCTCGATCTATTAGAAGCGGCTGGTACTAACATGGAAATGATATCAGATCAAGCCAAGATAAACAAGACAGGTATAATGATTTTAGAAAAGATATTTTCAGCACCTTGTAAGCAAAGAACATAGTGGCCGAAACAGTTGTTGCTCCATTGCCACCAGAGGCGACCTGTCAAATAGAAAGGAAAAAAAAAAGGAAAGAAACAAATATAGGTATATGACTAACTATAAAAAGAGCCAGATTTGGAGATAGTGGCCGAAAAAACGTTTCCATTGCTTCTATGTCAGCAAGAAGGCAGATTGTTGAGGCATAAATCATGTGAAGTGTCCTTTTTCTTGTGTAAATAGCAGAAGAACAGCAGATAGCGCGGAACCTGAGAATGAATAGTTTCTAGTGTGCAGGGCACTCACAACATGGGCAATATCCCTTCTAGCCGTCTTCTGAAATTGCCTTCCACTTATAGCCAATCTCTTCAATTGTTCGCTGTTAAGGCCTATTATCACACAAATAGTGTCAAGGGTAGAATGTAAAATTTACAGTATAATTTGACTTAGAAATTTGGATAGTCACGTTGTCTTGTCACTGCGAATATGGTTTTGCAGATGCATGGTTGCTAAAAAAAATAAAAAATAAAAAGCTAGAATGATGTTTTGGGTGCTAGCTTGAGAAGAAGGAAATATGTCTCCAAATTCAAAGAGTGAAGGAAGGACTGCCAATATGGTTTTGCAGATGCATGGTTGCTAAAAAAAATAAAAAATAAAAAGCTAGAATGATGTTTTGGGTGCTAGCTTGAGAAGAAGGAAATATGTCTCCAAATTCAAAGAGTGAAGGAAGGACGAAACGGATACTAGCAAAATTCGAGAAGAAGGCAATCCAGCAACAGCACGTGAAGAAGCAGAGAACTGACCGACATGGGGAACTCCGTCTAGGATGGCTATGGTGGCAGGGATAGCCCCATTGTCCCTGACGATGGCCTCCACCTCCATGGCGGTCTGAAGATTCTTCGGGTACGGCATACCTACACGGGACCCGTGAAGCATGTTGCAGTCAAGGGACATCCATCAAATGGAGCACGCCATGGAATTGAATCGAATCGAACTTTGATGCGCCAAGCTAGCCAGAAGAGGGCGGCGCGGCGAATGAAGAGGGAACCGGAAGGAAAAGGCAGGAGCAAGCTGACCGTGGCAGATGGTGGTGGACTCGAGGGCGACGACCGCGCCGCAGCGCGCGAGAGCGGCCGCGACCTCCGGCGCCACCACGATCGACATCTTCGGCGGCTGTGCCGGTTCTCTCTGCAACCGTACGCCGGTGGAGGAGGTAAGAGTAGACAGCAATTCGCGACCGGGCCGGGCCGAGCCCAAACAAGCCTGGAAACTTTTCAGACCAGAAGTGCGGCGGCGGCTAAAGGTAAATAAATACAAGGAAGGGCGGCGACACAGCGTAAAACGATGTTTGACGCTGAAATGTGAGGAAAACATCGTTCCGCACCTGAGAAGTAGTTCTAAATAAGTTCAAATGAACAGGGCCAATGTCCGTCCACACGAGAACATCATGATCTTTATATGGGACCAAATAACCTACACACGTATAAAAGTAATATTTTTCAGTTTTTATCATGAAAATGTTATGGAATTTATGACACCAGTTTTATTAGGGGAATAGTATCGGTGTTTCTAAGAAACGTCAAATTTATAATGACATAGTTCTAGTTAACTCGATATACGCAAGGTGCCCATCCCAGTGAGAGAGGGGTGAGATTTAAGAGGTAACTAGAAACAGAAGAGCGGCCATGCCTTACCGCGCCAACATTTTGATTGTTGCCCGTGTCCGTACCATCGGCCATCGCCACTGTTATAAGTTCGATCGATGGCCCAGTTTATATTTATAATGAGTAACAAATAATTTTCCAGAGAAACAAAACTACAACAGAAAATAAGAAAGTTTACTCACAGATTCACGGTACAGAAAGTCTGATGAAGAAATCCATACGCCAGAAAATAATCAATCCATTCCAGCACATACGCACAAGCACAACAGCTAGCTGTCGAGGCGTCCAGCACATACGCAGACACATGAACCAGGCCATATGTTCACAAATCACAACTTTTCATGGTACATACACAGGCATAGGACACAAACACTGAAGAAGAGAACACACTAGTCCAGCTCCAGCACCAGTAGGCCATCAGCTATCAGACGAGGCAGACTGGCTGCGGACCGGCCTCCAGGGTTGCTGCTTGCTGGCAACCGGACACGGAGAGGCAGGAGCACCACGGACGGACGCGTCGTTCTCGTCGAGCGCCTGAGACTGCGTATTGTTGGGCAGAGTAGAGATCTGGCGGAGGCGGACTGCGGACAGGGGCACCGCACAGCCACGCGCAGGGATCGGGGACGGGGACAAGCAAACCATCCCCAAACCTTGTAGGTATTTTATCGGACGGGGATCGCATGTCTGTATATCGAACAAAGGTGCATGGCAATAACTCGCAATTATATTGGAGGCTCCCAAACCTTGTAGGTATTTTATCGAGCATGCGTTGGGCGTCGCCCGCAGCTGCTGGGGCGGCTAGCTGCTTCGTTCTGTCGTATTCTCTCCGTTCCGAAGCATAAGTCGCTTTGATTTTTTTATGAGCCTTTTTACAGTACTTGAAATTGCCTCGCGTTGCCTCCCATTGTCTCCATAAAATATTAATTATCATCCCGGTACGTTGGTCATTTCACGTGCCTATCGCGCGCGCCTCCCGATCAGGAGAATTCGAGAGACTCGCGTATTGTTGGGTAGAGTAGAGATCTGGCGGAGGCCGGATCTTTAGATGAGGGATTGGGACAAGCAAACCATCTGGCTGATCCGGACGGGATCGTTTTCCTTTCGGGGCCTCGTTTAGTTGCGTCGACAAAAATATAAAAAATGCGTTTTTATAATTACCCAATCGTTGTTAATTATTTGTGATTAAACTTTACAGTTATAGTTTAAATGGGAATCTTTTTTTACATAGTGCCAAAGTTTGGAATCTAGACACCCCAGATTCATATCCATACAAATCGATGGATTTAGAGCGAGAGTTGGGATATGGCTAATAATATAAAAAAAATAGTTAGTTATATATTTGTGATTAAATTACAGTTATATTGTGTCATTCAGTAAATATCCATACAAATTGATGGATGAGCGTGGTTTTAATTTCAGCATGTAGACAATATTTCCACAAATGAAAATTTTTAAAGATGACAATAGTTTAAAAAATGAAGGCAGAGAAAACATAATATTAACATTAGATAAAAAAAAACATTAGAGTCAAAAAACATTTGGTTTGATTATTGTTCGTTAGCTGATAAACCATGGCTTATAAGCCAAATACAATCAAGCGAACATGCTGATTGTTAATACTAAACTAGCACTATGAGGGCTGAGCTCAGCACTGGCTAAGCATGGATATCTCGATTGCCCAATTCGAAAGCATATCCCATATAATTAGTGATCTGTTGTTCAATATAACATATGAAGATGTAATGAATAATTCAAGGAATGGGTAAAATTCCATGCTTCTTCAGATTTGCTTCTAGCTAGCTTTGCCTCAAATTTATGAGATGAATTTAGAATGTAACAATAAAATTTAGTTTAAATTTTATTTTGTTTATATCGGTTGCTGCCATTATCAGATCGAGCAACTTTTGCACTCAACCAGCTATGATAACTTGATAAGAATACTGAAAATTCATGAACCTCAGATGAGGGAGTGTGAAGCAAAAAATACGTGCCTTTATTAGGAATGTGGACATAGATGCAATTGGAAGACTTGATATGTATTTTTTTTTCGAAAACCGACTTGGTATGTATTTGTGATTTGTTATTGGAAAATCTGCCAATCGTAAAGGTATTCAGATTCAGAATGTTGTCATATAAATTAATATGTTTCAGGACTTAGTGACTACGCATAAGCTATGGATTGGCGCATGTCTGTATATCGAACAAAGGTGCATGGCAATAACTCGCAATTATATTAGAGGCTCCCAAACCTTGTAGGTATTTTATCGAGCATGCGTTGGGCGTCGCCCGCAGCTGCTGGGGCGCTAGCTGCTTCGTTCTGTCGTATTCTCGTGGTTGCAATTTATAAGTCGTTTTGATTTTTTTATACATTTATTTTGTTATATATTTAGATATAATAATATTTTTAATACATAATAAAATTGATGAATAAAAAAGTCAAAACGACTTATAATTTGGACGGACGGAGTACTGAACAGAGCAAACGGGATCGAGCACGTTTACCTCCTTCTTCCCACGGCGGCGACGGTGTGGAGTGCTTGCCTGCATCAAGGAGGAGCTGAGGAAGGCGGGTGGGTCCAGCGACGTGCGCGCGGTCTCCATCATCACTGTTCCATCCAAATCGCACCCAGTCTCCGTCACCGTGAGCAGGGCACCGCTGCCTTCCTTGCTGCGCCCCTCGCGTCGCTAGCGTGACGCGAGATACAGAGACATGGGGAGAGGCAGTGCTCGCCGTCGACGGGCGCCGTGCGGGGAGGGGAGGCGGGGGCTGCGAAATGAAGGGAGGAGAAGGGTCGCCTACGCTACGAGAGACGAGGAACGGCAGGTGACGATGGTTTGAGGCTTCGAGCTGGTGTCGTCCCACACGAGCGAAGGGAGGAGCCACCAACTCTCAGGCCAGTGCAGTCGTGCGGAGGCTTGGTTTGACGGCCCGATGAAATTGCTACTCCGGATCCAACGGTGTCGAGCTTTAGACACGTGGTCAAATAATATAGACACGTGGTCAAACGATACGCGAGATGAAGTTTGGTCTTGTAGAAAGACGAGGGTGGGGAGGTGTGGCAACGAGTGTGGGACGTACAGGGGCTTGGGAGATGTGTCAAGGTTAACGCCAGAAAAAGTGAGGTAGGCGAGAAATGGGATGGATAAAGCTAAGGAGTTCATACGCAACAGCCACCGTTTCTTGGGTCCCTCTGCACTGCGAGCCGCTAGTTGGGCTTCTAGCTGGCTCCTGTCGAATGCCGGCATGGATACTCTCTTGAGTCAACTCGGCTTGAGTGTCATCATAATGTGTTGACCGGTGACTCAGCGTCGTCTGCTTGGGTGGCTGGCACCAATGGACCTACACGAATATAAATGACCACGGCATGAAATCTATATCTATCCTGTTTAGTTACTCCAAAATCCCTATGAACATCGAACGGCATCGCTTAGAAGGCGATTAAATATCCGAAAATAAAAACTAATTGCACAGTTTGGGGAAATTTGTTTTAACGTTTTGGCCCGTTATTAATTTTTAAACACTATTTTGCCAAATAAAAGCGAACGCGTCTTCAAGAATTTCAAAATCCAAATTCACCCAACTAAACAAGCGCTATATTTGTATGTGGTTCGTAGGTTGTTGGTTTATATAATTTTTTGAAAATAGAAATATTTGATTTAGGATAAATCAAATATGACATGTAAGAAAGGCGGAAGTAGTATTGGCCGGTTAGAAGCTGATCTGGCACTGGCAGGATGGAGAGCAGTGGCCGGCCGGTGTGACCGTGTGAGTGCGAGTGCGAGTGCGATGGATTCTCTTCTCAGAGGCCGGTGCCCGGAGCCCGCCCTGCGACGAATAGCTAGCTAGCAAGCATATATTCCTGCTCTCACTCCGTGCCCCAACCCACGGCATCGCTTTCGCTTCCATCCATCCTAATTCGATTCACACCAATTAGTCTAGCTTCCTTTGATTTCTTTTTGCAAAATGAAAGGGAACGATGCTTCCACTATCACCGATTCTCTTTCTTCTCTCCGCATAAATATATCACTGGAACCGCCGGATCGGATGCTCACACCACAAGCTATCTAGCTACCTACCTGGGGCTGCTCCAAGTGCAAATAATGGTCTGCTGCTGCTGCTGGTGAGTGGCGAGAGCTAGCTAGCATCATGTCGTCGTGGCTGCACTCCTCCGACCAGCGGCGGTCCTGGAAGCGCAGCTGGGCGGCGCGCGCCCTGTCGTCGTGCTCGCTGCCGCCGCCCGGCCTGCTGGCCTTCTTCGCCATCGTCGTCTTCTTCCTCGCCATCTCCGGGTACGTGGACTACAAGGCCATCGAGCGCCGCGCCGAGATCGGCGCCCGCGTCTTCGCCGCGCCGCTCGCCCTCGCCGCCGCCTTCCTCCTCTTCGCCGCGCTCAGCTGGCGCCGCAGGTACTGGACCACCAGGAGGATGAGGCAAAGGGCGGCGCACCACTACCCATGGTCGTCGTCGTCGTCGTCGCACGATGCGTCCTCGTCGTCGGCGGCGGCGCCGTGGGGCGTGGCGGTTGCGGTGGCCATACTGCTGCTCATGATGACGTTCCAGGAGTCCGTCCACTCCATGTGGTTCAGGCCGCTCTGGGACTCCTACTACTACGACCCCTAAGCTACGAATCCAATCCACAAATCCACTAGTTACATATATACCTTCCTCTTCTTCAATTCAGTTGCATGCGCGTGTATGTTTGATGTATTACCTGCGATGTATAATACTACCACATGTTTATTTATATATACCTCTTCTGTTTCTGTATAATAATCGTGTATTTTTGTTTTGATTGACCTTGATAATTTCAGTAGAAAAGCAGTGTTTTTTCTTTGCGTGTAGCCCTAGTCATAAGTCAGTGTGTTTCCTTAATGGCCACAAGTGGCCGGTTCACAAATCAAGCACGTGGCAATCAACGTTTGCGCCTGCTTAGCAAGCAGACTCCTTTTGGATAAAGGACACGTAACAGCAAGGACAGAGGAAACAACAGTTGAGGACCACGAAGAGGACGAAGGTGAAAACAGGGAAGTCAGGTCACAAGGCCGTCGGAGGCGAAGAGGAAGACCAACCCACGAAACATGATGAATGGACAAGGCGGCAGTGGAAACGCACAGACAACGAGCGGATGGCGGCGTGGCACCTGGACACAGCTAGGCACGCGTGAGCATAGACGGCGTAGGACAGGAACGATAGCGGCACGCTGTCAGGTACGAAGGAGAACATGAGATTTTTAGACCATGCACAACTTTCTTTATTGTATTGAATTGAATTGACCATGCTTCTTTGGAAGCAACCGCGAACAACTTCCTTTATTGAATTGAGGTTTGGCTTTTCTATCACATGGTAGATTATAGATCCAACAGTTGCACGAGTGGTGACGTGGCTGCATGAGGGAAAGGAGAATGGACCTTGTCCAAAGCCAAGACAGAAAATGACAGCAACCGTTTTGTTAAACTAGATTGTGATGGAGCATTCAATCAATTGAATCGGTCAGGTGGGGAGGGGGTGGTGATGCTTTGTGTTGAGATGAAGTTGGCTCTGTGGCCAGTTCCAGATGCGGGACCACTTGGAGAAAATGTTGGAGCCATTTCATGCTAAGGCTATAACATGTTTGCAAGGCCTACAACGAGTGACCAGCGGCTAACTCGAGATCGTGAAGGTCAATGTGGGGGTGTATGCCCTGATGATCAAATAAGCAGAAACGTTGTCAACCTTCAATCAGACCTCGACGAGTGGGCTAATATGTAAGTTGAAAAAGTTGTTGGCAAACAATTTACAAAACTCTTTTAGCTGTTCATATTCCTCGGGTATGTAATGTCGTAGCCCATGAATTAGATGCCTGGGGATCTCATATGGGCCAGGGTAATACTATCATGATCTTAGACAATACTCCAAACTATATTCGAGTCCTTATAGCAGAAGACTTGGCAACAATTCATGAGCAATGGAAGTATTCCATGTTAAAAAAATGTGTGCTACTATGGTTTTTTTGCAGAGGAACAACCTCTCATGTGGCAAAGCCATTATTATCATGTTTTCATCCCGCAAATACACATCTAAACTTATATTATCAAATTAGTCAGCTAGTCTAGTGTAATTTTTGTTGCCACATTATCACGACAGGAGAGTTGCAAGCGAGCAGGGGCAATGGCATGAACAACAATGGCTTTCTATTGTTCCCCTGTAATTTGCTATCACGACAAGAGAGTTGCAAGCGAGCAGGGGCAATGGCATGAACAACAATGGCTAATGCACTTCCAAACACATGTTGGGTCATAGGATAGGTTGTTGCCTTTCCTTCAATTATACTATCGCTAGAACATATAGCGAGCATAATTTTTTCATATGCATGTTTGTCGAAAAAGAAACTATATGACAACAACGTAGCGAGAAACAGGACATCGCCCCATAATAGACGGCCTTTTATTCTAACATATTATTAGCTAAACATATAGTCACTATTGTAGAGAAGTGGAACCATGTAATTAATTCATTCTTAACAAGCCCATTACAGAGGGTCAAGTATCCATCATATTTTCTGGAACTAAGCCCACATGTTGGCCCAACTTTGATTTCATTAGACCACAGAGTGTCTTCCCATCTATTAATCAATGGAGATTTTGTTTGGGTTGCGTATGTTTTTTATGATTATTTATTATAGCATTAGCAAACGTGTATACCATCACAACGAAGCGTAACCCTTGTTGCATGGTCACATCAACAACTTGTATTCAAAGATCTACGTAATGGTCGCATCATTTGTTCTTATATATATATATATATATATTAGTCTGCCAGAAATCTAGCATATATATATATTAGAATTGGACTCTGTACAAAATAGTCGTGCACAAATCTAACTGGATGACTATGAGTTAAATACGAATCAAGAGAGATGTAAGGCACTTTGGGAAGTAAAATATCACACGAAAGACTCCCTTAGCCCTTTTTAATACTCGTATTGGGTATATAGATTAGTCCGCCAGTACTCTTATTAGGTATATAGATTAGTCTGCCAGAAATGTAGCATAGATTTATTGCACTTAACAATATTATTACCGTAAATTTAGCATAGATATATATTGTCCTTTTTCGGACGATATATAACTTTTGTCACCCGTCACCGTATTTCTTATAATGAGACGAGAAGAAGAGTTTTATTCAACTGTTATAAACTCAACAAGGTTTTCTCAAAGCAAAATAAGCTTGTGAGCCCACCCAAGCAATGTTGCTTTTAATCGAATTGATCACGTTACACTGTGAGCATGAAGCCTTGTTGTCAAAGGGAAAATTTAATACTGTATCCAATTTAAACCATGCTAGATGGGATAGAATCTACTTGATCATATATGGAAGGGAAAAAGGGTGGGAGTTTTGTTTTTCTTCTATTTATTTATCTAAAAGTTTATGTGTGCCCCCTCTAAAAAGACCTCTATGTCTATGCCAAACCGATTATCGCTTTTATATTCATGCAAACACTAACGCTACTCTACTCTTATAAGCACACACAATGTGGTTCTGCCGTGCCACACCACAATGGCAATTAAGTCAATGTTGTTTAGTTTGTTCAATTTCAAGATAGGTGTCGATATTACACCCACCACATTTTTTTTATTTTCTTGGTATAATATATATATTTCAGTAAAAACAGAGCATATTCGCTGTTGAAAGGATACCTTAACCATGAGCTTTCTGCGAACGAGCGTGTGGTTCGGTTGGTGAGGCACGCTCGGTGGAGCGCACACTGCCCACGCGTTCAAGCGCTGCTCGACGCGGGTTTTCGCAACAGGGGTTTTTCCTAGTTTCCTTTGCAGGAATTGCAGCCTCAAGCGCGGATGCTCACAATGGTCAAGGTGTCGTACCCGTCACGCTTGGAGTCTGATGATCTTCAAGTACCTCTCAGCCGCGTGTGTCTTCCGGTATAGGTGTAGTTCTAGCTTGTGCACATGGTGTATGTGTTTGCATGCGTGTGGTGTGAGCACGTGCTTAAGTTCAAATACTACAGCTTGTGCTTGAAGTATTGCGGCATTCAAAAAAGAAAACCATGAGCTTTCTTATATTGGAAGTATATATTCAGCTAAGCAGAACCGCAGATCCACAGAAGCTGAAGCGAGAGTTAGAAGCTGAAGCAGGGGCCTAGACGTAATTTATACAAGTGACGGTGGAGCTGCGTGCATTTGGCGCTGAACCATACATACCTGACTGATACCAACCATACCATACCTTGTTGGCGTAGTTTGGCAGCAACTCCCCGCGTCCCAACTCTCTTTTAAACCCCCAAAAACCAAAAATAAAAATCCCCCCTTCTTCTCCCCCCGACTCCCTCTTCCTTCTCTCTCGCCCGATAAGAACCCCTCCCCCCAGCAGCCGCCGCCGCAGCCGCCGCCAGCGTCGTCGCGGTCGCTGCTTCTAGGGTTGCGCCTTCTCGCGCCGCCTCCGTAGCCTTCCCTGCTCCCCCACGATCCCCGCTGCCTCCACAAGCTTCCTTCACCTGCTCACTCCAACCGCTGCCGCCATGGCGGAGAAGCTCAGGGATCTGAGCCAGCCGATAGATGTGACGCTCCTCGACGCCACGGTCGCCGCCTTCTACGGCACCGGATCTAAAGAGGAGGTAATCTCTTCCGCCCGCCTACCCGCCGCCACCTCGTGGATTACTTGCCCCGGAACGACTTTAGGGTTTACTTCGGTTGCTCGAGCTTCGAGTCTATCCGACCTCCACTTGCTAAATGCAAATGCTGCTTGTTCTGCTCATATGTTGTCCGTCTCTGAGACGGCGACGACGCCCTAGTCTTCTCCGTTCACACTTACGCTATCTAGGCCTTCAGAATGACTAAATGTTAGTGCAAACGTGAACAGTTGGGGTTTTCCCCACTTTGAGCTGACTGGTCTTTTCTCATCACCAGAGGCCTAGCATTGTTAGTTTTGTCTATTTGTTTCTAGCTTTGTGGCTTTGGCACTGAAAACTAATAACTGTATCTGCTGCCTTTCATTTCAGCGGAGCGCTGCTGATCAGATACTACGTGATCTACAAAATAACCCAGACATGTGGCTACAAGTTGTGCACATTCTGCAGAATTCCCAGAATCTCAACACCAAGTTCTTTGCACTGCAAGTAAGTTCGTCCACTCTGCTGGCTTTCGTTGTACATGGGGGTAGCTTGTGTCTCAAGGGGAGGATGAATGCTATGTTTATGCCCTGGTCGATTGGTTTAAAGTAATAAATGCAATTCAGATTTTCAGTTTAGCCTTCAACTTAAAAGGTTTGCTTGCATAGTCATATCTGCAGACTCATGTAGCATTACCTTAGAATGCATGGCTGACCAAAAACGATGCAAGGTTCAAAAGTATCGGTGTCTGACATATTTTGGAACGTATACTGAGGTTGACATTATTTAGGTGGAAAATTCTTAAGGTCATGCTATTCTGTGCCCTGTGCATATGAAACTGCCTTTTTACCATAACGGTCAGCCCCTCTTTCCTTTACTTCCATAATATGATTGCAACCATGTCAAGCTGCAAATGGAAATGCCTAATCAAGGTTATATGTGTCAAGATAAGTTTCTCTGTTTATCACTGCGAGGTGCAGTTTTCTATATCGTCAGGATTAGTTATAACTGTATT